CCAAAAAGCCACACACGCGACTTCCGCCAATCTTGTGCTGCTGCATAATGCAGCTGCGAGGAATTCGGCTCATCTGTGGGTCCTTCAGAGTTCACGTGCGCTTTCTGGTGTTGAAACCCGGTTTCTATCTCACTTTGCTTAATTTCCGCGAAGAATAATGAGCGATCTTAGAGGGCACCTTCAGAGAAAAAAACATTTCAGTTTCGGTCCAAAATTGGATATGAATTTTTGCGCTGAAATCCATCAGTTTTTGCACATTACCCGCCTAATATTCGCAAGCTATCAAACGAAAGGATGGAAACTGGATGAAACTGGCAACTCAGATACAAAATAGCACATGCGGGGAAATCCAGTGGACCCAGATATTAGCCACGCCCCTCAAAGCTGCGTCATTCAGCGGTACATGATGGGTGAGACAAGCTCCTCTGGGTTTCCTCCTAGCGAAGAAGAAGGCGTGTCGATCAACGGAATTATAATTTTATTCGCCTGCGCTTTCGAACTCTTGTGCAATGGGGTGACGTATTATCGCAAATGGCTGTGCACACCTATGAGATGGACCACGAATTTAATTTCGCAGCCGCGAGGATAATTTCCCACGCAGGCAACAGGGCAGGACGAGCACTAATTGAAGCCTGGGCGTCGGATGACAACTAAGTCAACCGATGTATTGAGCTGGTGTCCGCACACATCGTCCTCCGCAGTCATCTCAGCACGACCGATACTGCTGATTAATGGGTTCTTCCCCCTTCTCCCCCGCGCTTTTTAATTGTTGATTGGCCCCTCCCCTTATAACTGTTGCTTGTTTTTCTTTGATTCTTTGATCTCTGACGATGGACTCCCGCAAGATTTCGAAAGCTCACATGAATAAAATTATGATTTCGGTGATCGATACGCCTTCTTCTTCTTCTTCTCTATCTATAAACATACCTGGGATGCAAACATTTACCTCAATTTTTAGCTAGTACCTATTTTGCCGGTATGGTAAACAATTATGCAGTCGTGTACTCCTGATTGCCCGTTGATAACCTGGGAATCTGACGCGGTTATTCTGCAGTAGCTGATGGAATTCACCTCGAGTATTCATGCCAACTTTCAGACCGAGCCTTAGAAGCTTTTTTCCGAGAATTCATTCCACGTTCCTACACTAAGATTTAAACTATTCGCATATCTTATTAGCACCTCTGTGTAGTTTTGAGAGACAGGATCAGTAAAAAGGGTGCATATATTGAAAACTGTTACGCAGAAACAAGTATACAGATACTCGGAGTAGTTTTATTTGTGGAAGTAGAAGAAAAAACAATCTTTTGACTAAATTCGGACTCGAAAGCCACAAACCTACCGTAACTCTTCAACTTCCGAGCGCAGGGAAAAAATAATTCCCTGAGCAGTACTAAGCTCTTTCTGCAAAAATCCGATCTCCTTCTCTTTAGAATGCTTTAGTTCCTCTTTGGATTTCTGCGCTTCGTTCACTTGCCGTTCAAAATCCCGCCGTTCTCGGTTGATGGCTTCTTCTCGTCGCTGAAATTGTACACAATCGAAATTTGATTTTAGTCAAAAGACTAAAGGAAAAGAATTAAGTAACCAATCAATAGAATATCCACTCAAAAGTGTGCTCACAGAGAATAGCTGGCACCCAATGAAAACAACAGACACTGCTCTGGCACTATTCTCTAGTCTACTAAAAATCAGTAAACTTAATGCCTCACTATGGCAAACCTTTGCCCTAAAAGGCAGCATGATCTATAATTTGAAAAAGTTGATGTACCCAAAACGGAATTTCATCAGAGGTAATTTGACTAAATCCTTTCGATTAGCTATGCAGTAAGAACCTTTCAGAAGTGACTGAGCGCACCGCTGCGAGACTAGATGTTGGAATTGCGCATTGGCCCAGGGACACTATGCGCGGCATGGGAATGAAACTCGATGGCTTACTAAATCCCAAAAGGACAACCCTGGGTAAGTGGCTCGCATACCATGCCCAAACTCTGCTTCCAACTATACAGGTCAGATTAAACCTACTCTCGGATCACGGATACATGAATATAAACTGGCTTTGCAACAGGGCAACGATTTATAGCAAGTGTCGAGGGAAGGGGTCATGAGTTCAAACTTACAGCCGTGAAGACAATGGACCACCTCGGAGACAGGACAAGCCGATAACTGATTGAAGCCTGATCCACGGATGGGAACTCAAATAATAGCTGCATTGATTTTTCTCCGGTGTACAGAGTCCTGTGCAGTCACCTCTACCATGCGCAACTGTTTTTTTAATTAGCAAGCTCCCTATGAAATTGTTGCCCTCTTGTTGCTGCTGTTGCTGCTGCTGCTGTGGCTGATAGTGGACTCGTGCACGAGTTCGAAAACTCAGTA